GGTTTCTGTTTTTACTAAGAAACATTTTCCATGAAAAGGAGCTCACAACAGGCCCGAGTAGCCTAGGTGTATTTCTTCGGATTTGATGTAGTAAACATCCTCCTAAGGTTGTCTAAAGGTTTTATTCTGATTCCATACTTTCAAGTATTAACGTTTTCTGATTCCAGCAAATTCATCAGCTTTATCGAAACTGAAAAGAACCCGGAACTGCATAGTTTCCAAAAATTCGTGTATTCATGAATCTTTCGTTTGTGTTGCTTTCAGTTTTACAAAAAATACTATTTTGGTTTGTGTTCAATCAAAACCATTTCAAAAACTCCATATTTCCAACGTATTTGAACATTTCTTAAAAAACTTTGTAAGAAATCATCCAATTCCGATAACTCATAAGGGCATTTCAAAAATTTTCGAACAGGTTTTGTACCTTACCCTTTCAGATTTTGATGATACTTGGTACACATATTTTTTGTATAAATACGAAGTTTAAAGTTCTCCAAAATTTTCAAATTCATTGCGGTTTAGATTTTATCAAGGTTCAAAGTTGATATTTTTTCAGATTTTTTTTCAACATTATGTTTGACATCGTATATTTTCTAAACTATTTATTCGATTTTAATCGTTTTAGTCTCCAATTAAAGCCTATGTCTTGTAGTTCGACGATATTTTATTTAAAATGTTACAGTTTTAACGTAAGGATGATGACGTCAAAAAACGTCCTTTAGTCAAGGATATATCAAAAAAAGGTACCTTCCATTTTCTTTATTTCTTCACAAAAGATTGCTTACAGTGTCCGACAACATTTTAAATAAAATATTGTCGGACTACAAGACATATGCTTTTTTAATTGGAGACTAAAACAATTAAAATCGGATAAATAGTTTAGAAAATATACGAGTCAAATTTAATGCTTGTTGATAAAAACTGAACCGTAACGAATTTAGACATTTTGAGGAACTTTGAATTCCATATTTACATGAAGAATGTGTGTACCGAATTTGTTCGGTAAAAAAAATAAAACTGGAAATTATTTTAAAAAATCGATTATAGGTATAAATGTCCTAATTTGTTTGAAATTCTTTGATTAGTTGTTAATTTGCTACATATTTCCTGCGTATATTGTAAATATGTTTAACTAAAGTCAGATCTTTATACATAATAATTTTCAAAAGTATCCTCATTAGCCGGCACACGGGCTATAGAATTCAGTTATTTATCATCAAATAATTACACAATATTGAATTCTATTACAAAACTTTGATAATTATTTCATACGACGCACAGTGGTATAGGAAAAAAAAAGAGGGAAATAATTCGGTAACTTCTAAACGGTTAATCCGATTTTAATGAAATTTGGTATGCACAAAGAGGAGGTGTTGTCGAGTTTAGGTTTTGAATTTTGACCTTATAGGCCAACCAGGGGCCCGGCGGGGGGTCCTCAAATTAGGACACCTCGGCTATGTTAAATTTTTAAAACGATCCTATTTCTTCATTTGAGTTCCGATTTAAAAAAAATTTCGTATATAGAATCTCCTCATCGAGCACTATAAAAAATGTTAAAAAATGTAGCAGTAAATTATCTCTTATAGTTTAGGAGATATTCGCATTTGAAAATTTAAATTTTAAAATTTTTACCGTCCTTACTTTAGTTTTTTTGATAATAGCGGGTCCAAATATTCCCGATTTTCGCCATTTTTTATTATTCGCTTAACAACAAGTTTATATATCAAGCAGTGAAAGAATTATGTAAAAATCATAACTGAGTCCAAAGTTATAGGCATTTTAATTTAAAAAATTAAAAAAAGGCGATTTTTTGTCATTTTTTTGGGAAAAAAGTATCTTTTTCTTTTTAAGTTATCTAAAAAGTTTCTAAGAAGATGTATATAGAATTTATACTTTTTGGAAAGCTGACTTTACATAAAGTACGATAAATGAAACAAAACCTAAAAATTTTTGATACCGAGGGGACCAGGTCCATCCAAAAAAACCCTATTTTTTATGGAAAATTCAATTTTGAGCAGAAATTCTCAAATCGCATAGTCGATATCAAATTATAGTGACCTGTTTTATATGACCCAATATGTTCTTAATCATTTTGTAACGGGTTTCGATAACCCCGCCCCTGGTATGGATATAATAGGCAAAAAAGCAAAAAATCCCATTTTTGGGATTTTTTAAAACTTTTTTGGGAATTCCGGGATTTCTAATAAGAAAATTCGAAATTTTTATTTAATTTTGGATTTTAAGTAAAAAAATCTACCTAACTCTAAAATTTCATCAAAAAATATTCATAAATAAAGTTTTTATTGCAATTTGAAAAAATTGTATCTTCGCAAAAACTGAAAAAAAAAACATTTTTTTAATTTTTTTTAAAAAAAGTATTCCGCGAATTTTTTAATTTTCAAAAATGATATACAGTTTTGAAAAATAGACAAAATTACCTTTCCATTGATATATAACATGCCTACCTAATGTTTTTTAAGTGACAAATTAATTAGGGAAAACTCAACATCTTTTAGAAAATTTACCTAGCACTATTATTTTCATCCATATATGTAACAAATTTAAGAGTTAACCTTATGGATGAAAATAATAGTGCTATTTAAATTTTCTAAAAGATGTTGAGTTTTCCCTAATTATTCGCGGAATACTTTTTTTAAAAAAAATTAAAAAATGTTTTTTATTCAGTTTTTGCGAAGATACAATTTTTTCAAATTGCAATAAAAACTTTATTTATGAATATTTTTTGATGAAATTTTACAGTTAGGTAGATTTTTTTACTCAAAATCCAAAATTAAAAAAAATTTCGAATTTTCTTATTAGAAATCCCGGAATTCCCAAAAAAGTTTTAAAAAATCCCAAAAATGGAATTTTTTGGTTTTTTGCCTATTATATCCATACCAGGGGCGGGGTTATCGAAACCCGTTACAAAATGATTAAGAACATATTGGGTCATATAAAACAGGTCACTATAATTTGATATCGACTATGCGATTTGAGAATTTTTGCTCAAAATTGAATTTTCCATAAAAAAAAGGGTTTTTTTGGATGGATCTGGTCCCCTCGGTATCAAAAATTTTTAGGTTTTGTTTCATTTATCGTATTTTATGTAAAGTCAGCTTTTCAAAAAGTATAAATTCTATATACATCTTCTTAGAAACTTTTTAGATAACTTAAAAAGAAAAAGATACTTTTTTCCCCAAAAAATGGCAAAAAATCGCCTTTTTTTAATTTTTTAAATTAAAATGCCTATAACTTTGGACTCAGTCATGATTTTTACATAATTCTTTCACTGCTTGATATATAGACTTGTTGTTAAGCGAATAAAAAAAAAATGGCGAAAATCGGGAATATTTGGACCCGCTATTATCAAAAAACTAAAGTAAGGACGGTAAAAATTTTAAAATTTTAATTTTCAAATGCGAATATCTCCTAAACTATAAGAGATAATTTACTGCTACGACGACATTTTTTATAGTGCTCGATGAGGAGATTCTATATACGAAATTTTTTTTAAATCGGAACTCAAATGAAGAAATAGGATCGTTTTAAAAATTTAACATAGCCGAGGTGTCCTAATTTGAGGACCCCCCGCCGGGCCCCTGGTTGGCCTATAAGGTCCAAATTCAAAACCTAAACTCGACAACACCTCCTCTTTGTGCATACCAAATTTCATTAAAATCGGATTAACCGTTTAGAAGTTACCGAATTATTTCCCTCTTTTTTTTTTCCTATACCACTGTGCGACGTCACTGTAATCATAAACAGTATTTCTTTGCAAAAAATTTTTGAATATTTCTCATTTTTGGTTTTTGTTTTTAAAAATTAAAAAAAAATTGAAAATCTTCTTATAATTAAAACAGATGACAAAAACAAAACAAACGAAAAGTGCCATCGAAATTCACATTCATAAATTATAATGTATACTGTATGTATTTAAGTATTTATATATAAGTTTATATATTGTGTATATAAAGCGAATAAAAAAAATTAAAAATGAAATTTTGTATTTATTTAAAAATAGCACGAGCATTTCATTCTTGTTGTTTTTGCTGCTGCTGATGAATTTCAGTATTTTGGTTTTATTTTTTAATATTTTAAAAATATTTTTTAAAAAAGATTTTTATTATTATTGCTTTATCTTGTTTTTATTTCATTTCTTTCTGTTTCTACTTGATTTTTTCGCCTTTTCATAAATCTACACTAATGAACACTTATATAAAATATAAATATGTACACAAATACATACATATGTATGTATGTATGAATAGGTATGTTTTCTTTTTTATATTTTATAAACACACACATTGATTTTTGTTTTAATATTTTATATACTTATAATAAGTATGTTTATATTTTTATATTTTTTTATATAAAATATGAACTTTTTTGTTATACATTTATATAATATTTAACCATATTTTGCTTTTCATCACGATAAGTAATTGATTTATGGAATTTTTTTACTTTCAATTAAACGGAAACGGAAATCAAAGTAATGATTTTTGTGTATTGTTTATAGAAAAAAAGAAAAGTAATAGATTTTAATCGTACACTCATATAAACACATTTTCATTCATTTATTTATAATTACATACATATCAACAAAACATATAAACAATTTTCCATTGAAATGAACATATTTTAAGATTGAAAATCTCTTTGAATTAACTTTGTTTAAAATAAACAACATTTATTTATTTATTTGTTTCCATTAACTCAATATTGAATGATTGTTGTTGTACTATCAATTATTTTAAATTTTCTTTATATTTTTTTTTAATATTCTCTTAGTTTAATTTTATTTAAATCATTTCCAAACATTTTAGATGTTTCTTTCATTTACACATATATTTCAAAATATCAATAAACACAAACACGCGGCAATTCAATCCAATAATCATAAAAATAATATAAAAATAATAAAATTTGTAATTATTTGCTGAAGCGTCTTGTTATCGCTTCAGAAGTGTAAAAAACAGACGTTCATTTATTCATTTTACCGTTAAGAGCAGATGTCAATATATTATCGATAAATAAATATACACCAACTGACTGACTGCCAGACTACACATCACATTCGAAATTATTTCAGGTTGAACACACTTTTGCCTGTACCGCCGTGTCTGTCATATTTTATAAACTTTAGTGTGTAATGTCAAAAACGAAAAACGCGCGTCACTTAAATGACTCGACACTGTTCGAGTGCTCTGTAGCTTTTTTTTTTGTTATTGTTAAATACTTTTCTTTATTTATTTTTATAATTCTCATAAATTTATAGTGCCACGAAGCTTTTGTTCCGACCGCTTTTCCGTGTGTGGTTCTTTTTTTTCGAAGAGATACAAGCACACAAGAAGAATGTTGGCAATCAACTGACTACAAAAATTGTTTCGCAGATTGTTCAGAGTGTCAATGAAAAACACCACCACCAATAACAACAACTACTACCTCAACGCATACAACAAATACCAGGGGGGGGGAACCAAAAACATCATCATCATTGATACCAGCGTCAATGTTGATGGTGGTTAGTGATGGCATAAAATACTTGGCAATACAAAAGTCAAAAGGCCTGATTTCTTACCAACAACTCAGATAAAGGACAACATTGTTGAGCGCATTGTTTACTCAATACTCTTGTGATTTTAGAAAACAACTGCTAGCAAAAAGCTGAAGGCGTGATGTTTCCACCACATTAGCAAAAATGTAAAATGTTGTGCAACATTATTGAGCGCAATGTTTATTCAACGTTTTGTTGCGGGATAAAGATGTTTGGCAACAAAAGCTAGCTCATCAACAAATGTATTAAAAGTTGGACAACATTGTTGTTTGTAATGCTTGTTAAACATATAATATCACCCTCAACATGTCTACAAAGCTTGTGTTTACTTTGTTTAGCGTTATGTAGCGATATGAATGCACACATACATATGTATGTATGAACATCAATATTCATAGTTTGTGGATGTTATTTAGCTTCATAATTATTAACTCGCTATAATAATCATGCTAAATACAAAAATATTAATTTCTTCATTTTATATCCAATGATTAAACTATTCATTAACAATTTTTTTAAATACTAAATATTGAGTTATTATATGAATGAATAATACTTAGGAAGTCATCAGCTTCTTCTTTCTAAATCCGTTTACAAACTTAAAATCGGCTGAGATTCAACTAAGTAACTGATATATAAGTTCTTAAAGGAAAATAGTTTTTTTCGTAACTCAAGATTTTAGAGGTGTTTGGAAAATTTCTACTAAGTTTCTGGAAACAATACTAGATATTCCACCCTTTGAAACATATGTATGTAAGATATGAGGCGGCACTTACAGCCGAACGGCTCATAACTTTAGGCGAACTGGCAAAAAGCGGTTATAGGGCACGTCATCAATATATAATGGACACATTGGAAGGGATGTGCCCGATCGCATATATAGAATGTCTTGGTCAAGCGAAACTTTAGAGCAAATACCAGTAGGATTCCGTTACTACACGGATGGCTCTAAATTGGGAAATAAAGTGGGCCTAGGGGTTTATATTGAAGACCCAGAAACTGAAATATACCACCGTTTACCTAACCACAACACTAGCCTCCAGGCAGAGGTCCGAGCAATAACGAAATGAATAAATTGAATTAGAATAAATATGGGCTTAATATATTAACCGACAGCCAGAAGCCAATTAGAGCAATATCAGATGATAAAGTTAAATAAATCTAAGACCGTATTGAATTGTAAAAAAGCTTTAAATCAATACTCTCCCAGAGGTAAGGCCACTCGGGAGTAGTTGGCAATGAAGAGCGAATGTAATAGCTTTAAAGGGAAGGGAGCTCTAGGTATTTAACCTGACTAACGCAAAACCATTTGAAGCAACGAGGGCAGAATTAAAATTATGGGTGAGAGAAATCTATAAGGTCTCTTGGAACAATGAAACCGTTGGTACAACTACAAAGATCATATGGGGTGACCCTAACGAGAGCAGGACTAGAAGCCTTCTCAAAATGAACAAGTCTGAGGTTAATATGATGGTACGTTTTCTAAGGATTACGGTCACACCTATAGAAAATTGGACTTGCGGGTTCAGAGGAATGTAGAGCATGTAGAGAGAACAGTGAAACTCTGGAGCACTTTCTTTGCCATTGTCAGGCTTCCGCCGAAATAGATCCAAATATCTTGGGAGTAATATAATTCCGGATATAACATCCAACACTAACACCGATTGAAAAATTCTTAGGAATTACGTCCAGGAAAGTGAGATTCTGAACATGGGACGATAATACATTTAGTGAATATTATATAAGGTTTTTGTTTTTACTAACAAACATTTTCCATGAAAAGTAGCGCACAACGGGCCCGATAATAGCCCAAGTGTATTTCTTCTCCTCCTATCAACCTAACCCACTCGATAATACCTATCAGACTTACTTCCCAGGTATTTCTATTTTAGTTTATTTTGTCCCAATGTGCAATCTATATATATAAAAGAGTCGCGTCACTGACTGATTCATCATCGCACAGCCCAAACGGCTGATTCCAGAATCGTGAAATTTTTACAGTAGATGTTTTTTGGTTATGTAAAATTTATATATTTAGGTGTAAAAAAGGGAAAACCGGTTAATTATTTTATACAATATTAGTGCTGCAAGAAAAATTTTAATACAATATATCTTAAAAAGGGCACATGAGTGTCAGGTACTTTTTCGATATTCGTACTTTTAATGGGTTTAAGGTGATTTTTGCCCTTTATTAATAACGTCCTTTTTCGGTGTAAATGGGAGAAAACTTATTTTTGGTACTTTATTCCACTATTCCATCGTTCTAATCGTATTTTCGGATTTTTTACAATATTAATATATAAACATAAAAATTTAATTCACACGGCCCTGATTAAATAAGAATCTATTTTTGTATTTTCTTTAATATTGAACTCAGAAACATAAAATTTAACATGACTAAATCAGAATCTATCAGAAGTCTCCAAACACACAAAACTATTGAACATACACTGAATGAGACCTGGGTGAATGAGAATCTACAATAAGGACTTTTTCGTTCTTCAATTAGGGTCAACTAGGGACCAATTAAGACGCAGCAGCATTCGATAGAGTGACTAATTTCTAATAAATCTCTTATTATGCATTGATTGATTTTAAAAGATTTATTGATAATAAAGTAATTTTCCTTCAGATGATAAGGATAAGTTAAATCATGTACCAATCCTTTCTGAAGGAGTTCTGATTCGCTTGCGAATGATTTTGCCAATTTTCAGTAGCAAGAAAAATGCATCAATAGAGAATATTTATGATAAATTTAAGCTTCTCCCGTTTAGGCCCAATACAAAAACTCTCGTATAAACTAAGGGCCGGTTTTATAGTTCACTAGAATGGAAGATATACTATGTTTGAAAATGTTAAACAAACTTAAGTATAATTTCTACCCTTAGGAAGAACTATTTAATACGTTATATTTACATTTGAAAACATCTTTATAGTTTTTAAACAACAATGCTGAAGCAACTTTGGCGCCAGTATGCCTCCAAGCATTAGACAAAGAAAGTTTAATGTCTGTCGGTTTATTTATTTTTTTTTTTTTTTGTTATTTAGTACAATTTCATTCACAAATTGAATTTTATGCGCATGATCAATTAGTCAGCAGTCATTGATTGTATTTTGGACTAACTAAATTGTTGTCTATTTAGATTTTTGACTCTTGAATTTTCATTGTCAAACATGTTATTTGTTGGAACATGTCGTTGTAAAACTTAATTGCATTTGGCAACATTTTTCAATTGTATTTATCTTTTTATAGACTGCTTGCTACGAGCAATTGTGTCTAGATATTTCGTGTGTTTATTTGTTTACTATAGTTTAAACTATTATGAATGATTCTCTTGGAATCATAAACTATGATTTCATTTAATTTAGTTTTCGTTTTTTTTAATACTCACTTCAAATGAAATTTTACAACACACTTATAAATGAAATTAAAGTCATTCATAATGTTTCTATTTAGTTTAGAAATCGTGCATTAATAATAAAAGAGAAAATATAGGGAGACGGTAAAATTAAATAGTTTGTATTTTTATTGTTGTTGATGATGTCTCTAACTCAATTACTCGCTTACAAAAATGATTGTTATTTATTGTCATTATAGTGTCTTCTTGGTTATAAATTTACTTTATGTCAGCTCTACTAGTAACATAATCCAACAAACATTTTAGTAACTCTCCGTTAGGAAATGTAATTTTTACAAGGGATAGTATTGAATGGATAGTATTGAATGATGATGTTATTTTTAAATTATAATTTGTTTTAAATTCGCAAACTAGCGCAATGGTCCTGGGAAAACGATTTGTATTGTGTAAGCGTGATAACGCTGAAAATAGAATGATTTAAATTCTTTGTTAATTTTATTTCAGTAAGAAACAGGTTGACAGGTTATGTACCTAACTTTTGGCGTGGAGTTAAAGTGGTCTTCATACTAAAGGCCGGTGGCAAGTCTAAACAGTTGTCAAAATTCTATAGACCAATTAGCTTAAGTTAATTTTTACTGAAAACAATGAAAAAACTACTTGACAATTACATTAGGGAAATTTATCTTTTAAAGAATCCGATTCGCCGGTTTCAATTTGCTTACCAATCCAGTGACTGTTATGCATCATCTTACGACGAAAATTGAGAATGCTCTGGGTTCCAAACAAATAGCCCTATGAGATTTTATAGACATACAAAGAGTTTCAATAATACGTATTGCCTCATTAAGTAGAAACTGCACACCAAATTCCTGACAGGAATTAATGATACCAATCTAACTTTCAGAAGGCAATCTCCATGGAAAATATTCTTCAATTTTTCAAACGGAAATCTACGCCATCTTCTTCTGTGTTAGGGAGTGCGTGAAGAGAAAAATAAAGGGTCTAAGAATTTATATATTGTCAGACAGAGAAGCAGCGCTCAAGGTCTTACTGTCATATGAAGTTAGGTTTGGTGTTGTAATGGACTCTGTGACATCACTGAACGAACCGGGTAAACATAACAAATTAACATTATGTTGGATACCCTTGAAAGTCACTCTGCCAATGAACTAGCGCCGGGCGAGCGAAGCTAGTAGCGCGCTGCCTAGCACTTAGCATTGGTATCCCACAATGATACGCTAAACAAAGATACGCATCGTGGTTGATTCGAAATTTGCTCGCCACTGGGAAGGGCTTATACAGACAAAGCGCTTAATTAAAGTTGTTATCGCTTAACAAAAGTGATCTTAGAATCGCGGGACTATCCAGAGGATAATGTGGTATCAGATATCACCTAGGAAACGCCATATTGAAGCTATGTAGATTTTGTTGCTGTCAGG